GTTAAGCGCCTGCGTTTGGCTCAGGTCATGGATCCCGGGGTCCTGGGATCGAGCCTCACATCAGGCTCCCTACTCAGCGGGGAATCTGCTCCTCCCTCTCCCTCTGTGCTCTCTCTCTCTTTCTCCCTCTTTCTCTCAAATAAGTAAATAAAATCTTTAAAAAAAAAAAAAGGAACATGTAAAGAAAAAAAATCTGAAAATTACTAGACTAATATTTTATTTTATTGGGGAAAGCCTTGATCCTTTAACTATAAGGCAGTTCAAGGTACATGTTTCTTCTTTCATTTCTATGACTGTTCTTAAACTCATTACAATAATTAATATTTTCTCATTGAAAAGATTTCAATTCCCTGAAAAGCCTGGTAAGTATCTAATGCTGACAAAATTTCTCACCCTTTAAAGTCAAGTATCTAATTTGGATGTAATGGGAACATGGTACCTGGCTAAAAACCTACAAATTCCCCAAAAGTTATGCAGAGTTATAGGAGTTACAGAGATCTATTTGGTATCTGGGACCATATTCTTTTCGTCATTATAGAAAGTCATTTGCATCTGCATGACGCTGAACTGCCCCTAGAGATGTGACGAGAATCCGAATGATCTGGTGAATCAGGGCCTTGATTGCTAAGTCTTCCTTTTTGGAAAAGAGCAAAGAAATTCCTGTGGACTCCTGGGTCTGTTCTTCCTCCCTTGGACCTACCAGAGAATTAGTTACCCTGGACCATCACAGTAGGTTTCCCAGGGCAAGTCTCTGTTGCTCAGGCAGATATGATGAGTCTATGGTCAAGGCAAATCCTTCAACTTCCCACGATACTCTGCCCAGATGGCATTTGTAGATGAAGTCCAGCCTCTTTCTGTACTGCTCATGAGAAGTTCAGATGGTGTGCATCACCCATTACAAATCTGAGAGGTGGAGATACTGGGGGGATGCTAATGGCATGTGGGAGGGAAATGGAGAAGATTAAGATGGTATCTGGACCTAATGCGTAATGGTTAGATACTCAAAGGAATAAAAAAATAGATTCTGTTTTGACTTTATCTTGGGAATTAATACTCAGTAAAAGAAGACTTTTTTTTAGAAGATTTTTAATATGACAGATACATGCATTCTTAAATTTTCACTTTTTAAGAACACCTGATGAATGACTACAAAATAAGAAAATAATGTAAAAACATTTTTTAAATTCTTATTCTTCCTAACAATTACAGATCATAAAAAGATCAGATCAAAAAATATCTCCTGTAATATATTTCGACTCAGTGGAAAGCCCCCACAAAACCCAAAGATTCACCCAAATTGGAGCATTTATTACACATGTGAGTGCTGTAGTATGTCATAGTCTGCTTCCTGTTCTATAGCCCGATTCGATGTCAATTATATATGCTTTTTAAAACTCTAAGTAGGCACCAAATTGATTTGTTGTACGCTGTACCTAGAGAGGTACTGAGTGAATCATCACTCATGAATAAATCACTGGTAACCAAAAATGTGCTACTCTATCACCAATAAGTAACAGAGTATATTAGTTTCCTACAATTACATCCTTGGCATCCGTATCAGTCTGCTCTTCTTTCTGTAAGTCCCTTTGGGCTGCAGGCACGGATCACACAAGGAAGGGGAAGAAAGGAGGTTTGCTCTGGGGATCCCTGAGCTGCTCCTTGAATGGGAGGGAAAGCCCTCCTGCGCAGGTCCAGGGACCAGGTCTTTCTCCACCTTCCTGCACCTAGTGCTCTTTCTCATCGTCAGCTCCTGTCTCTATCTGCACATTCCTTTGCCTTCTTCTACCAGCTCGCTTCCTCTGCCTTCTCTTACACTCTGCCCACGACTCCAGCTTCAGAATGCAGGTGGCCATCACTTCCTCGTCCTGGGTGACATTTCAGCAGCAGATCCCATAACAGACTAGCAAGCTGTGTTTCTTAGTTCAAACTCCCGGCAAGCACAGGACTGACCCAGCTCATCTTTTCAATCCAGATACATGGTATCGGATTCTGCAGATCACATCTCTAGGGCACACTCCAATCATTCTCTCTCGAGGGATTCCTAGCATCTTGTTTCAAAGCTCCCCCAATGACTCTAACAGAGACAGGGTTGAGACCCACTGGGGTGGCCTAACTAAGGCCGACTGTCCTTGAGGCCAGTGCCCATCCCTGGTCCACTCATGAGGCAAGAGTGGATTAGGTGGACACCATGAAACCAAGGCTGGGTGGTACATTACTTTCCTATTGCTGCTTTTCCTTGTTGTGTCAAATGACCACAAATTTAGTGGCTTAAAACAACACACATTAATTATCTCACATTCAAGAGGTTAGAAGTCTGAAATGGAGGGACAACGGGGTGGCTCAGTCAGTTAAGCGTCTGCCTTCAGCTCAGGTCATGATCCCGGGGTCCTGGGTTCGAGCCCCACATCAGGTTCCCTGTTCAGCAGGGAGCCTGCTTTTCCCTCTGCCTGCCGCTCCCCCTGCTTGTGCTCTCTCTCACTCTCTCTTCCGCTCTCTGTCAAATAAATAAATAAAATTTAAAAAAAAAAAGTCTGAAATGGATTCCACTAGGCTAAATCAAGGTTTTGGCAGAGCTGTGTTCCTCCTGGAGGCTCTAGGGGAGAATTCATTTCCTTGTCCTTTTCCACTTTCCAGAAGTGGTCTGCATTCCTTGGCCTGTAGTCTCTTCATTCATCTTCAAAGCCAGCAAAAGCTGACTGAGTCTCACATCACATCATTCTGACATGGGTTCCTCCTCCTCCCACATTTAAAGGAACCCTGGGATTACACTGGATCATCCAGGCTAACCTCATTCTCTTGAGATGAGCTGCTAAGTAACGTTCATTCCCCCATCATGTCACACAGGTTCCAAGGATTAAGAGAGGGACATCTTTGAAGGAGCCATTATTATTCTGCCTACCATGAGCAGACTACATGGAACAGAAAATACTGTGTGTGGGGTTTTACTCACAGAAACACGACCAGTATAACACTAGGCTGAGTATTATTACAGCATGAGATACAGCTTGACTATTAAAACTTTAACCATTTGTTGGTTTTCATCTCTTATACTCCACATCAATAGGTATTTCAGCCATAAAAACAAGAGACCAAGCATTCTTATAACAATATATGAACTCAAACAGAAACATTTTTACCCTTCAATAATTTACAAGCTATTTTCCTATAATTATACCAATTTATACATTTTATCAACAACCACTACCCCAAATCAATTGTAATTAGATTCCAAAAGAAATCTATTTTAAAACACATTTTAAGTAATTTCCAAATTGCTTTTGCCTCAGTCAATGATTACATATTAAAAATATAACAACACAGTACAATTCCTTTAAAGAGAAATACTTATCCAAAGTGTTTCTTCTTCAAAATTTAAATAAAAGCACCTGAACATTTTTAACAAACATTTTCCTGTGCTTGAGGCTACTGGTATGTGAAATCATGGAGGTTTTTCTAAGTTATTAGCAGTTTCTGAAAAACTTAACTGTGAAAACCTGTCACCCAAAATGCATCTAAACCAAAAAGGAGTGGGACAAAGTGAGAAAACAAGATCATGATATAAATGTAAAAGTTAGGGGGAAAACATTCCAACTTCAAAAAGCTTTGAAGAAAAATGCATTTTCATGTATATCTGAGTCTTCAGAAATGAACTATTTCTGGGTGCCTGGGTGGCTCAGTCACTTAAGCATCCGACTCTTGATTTTGGCTCAGGTCATGATCTCAGGGTTGTGAGACTGAGCCCCTGTTGGGCTCCATGCTGGGCATGGAGCCTGCCTAAGATCCTCTCTCTCCTTCTCCCTCTGCCCCTCCCCCCCCCCCAAAAAAACTATTTCTTGGGTATTTCACATTAATGTTCAAAATTAAAATAATACAAAGTCCTGGGGCACCTGGGAGGCTCAGTTGGTTAACTGTCTGCCTTCGACTCAGGTCATGATCTCAGGGGTCCTGCAATCGAGCCCCGCATCGGGCTCCTTGCTCAGCAAGGAGCCAATGCTTCTCTCTCTCCCTCTGCCCCTCGCCCCGCTCCTGCTCATGCGTGCTCTCTCTCTAATAAACAAAATATTTTACAAAAATAATAGAAAGTCCTTTTTTCCTTATATTTGCTTGGATTTATAAAATCTAAATATGTAATATATACATAGTACTATATATATATATAATAATCAGCTTATCTGTTGACCTCAATTTGGAAGTCAGTCCCTACATTTAGGTTAAATCAGCAAATCTCACTATTTTTTGGCTTTAATCTTCAGTTTACTTGGAATATTATTTAATCAACAAATATTTGGGCATCTACTCTAAGCCAGACATGTTACAAGTGTTAACAATTTATCACATTAAAAAAAACCAATTAGTCCTGTCCAAGCTTAAAATAATTCACATTTAAAAAAAAAAGTATCAATCATTTTATCCTCATTTACTAAGCTTTTAAAAATTGACACTACTTCGGGGGCGCCTGGGTGGCTCAGCTGTTAAGCGTCTGCCTTCGGCTCAGGTCATGATCCCAGGGTCCTGGGATCGAGCCCTGCATCAGGCTCCCTGCTTCGCAGGAAGCCTGCTTCTCCCTCTCTCACCCACCCTGCTTGGGTTCCCTCTCTCGCTGTGTCTCTCTCTGTCAAATAAATAAATAAAATCTTTAAAAAAAAAAAAAAAATTGACACTACTTCGAATCCACACGTTTGGTCTTATCTAGTAATTTGTAAATTGGTCAATTCTAACTTTACATCTTCAGCACATAGAGCTGGTATCATGAGACCAGTGATTTATTTCACACTGGGAAAACTGGGCGAGCGGGATTTCAAGTTGTTGGTCCTTCAAAGTTTAGGTCTCTTCTTCAGACAAAATTAACTACCAAGTTGAAATCAATCTGCTAATGGTCAAGTTAACAGCATGCCATTGGTCATCAGAAAACAGGTGTTCTAGAAAGGAGATGACTTACTTAGACTGCTTAGCTGGCGTATGATAGCAGCAAGAGTACTATTGGTTACACATTCAAGTTCACTGGTAATCCCTTCGGGCAGGGCTCCCCGGCACACGTGCCGGGGTTCGATGTTCCTCTTCACTAAAGGCATGGCTCACAATCTGAAAATTAAAAAGACATGTTTTAAGAAAGCTCAGATTCACATTTTAACAAACTTAGAGTCTGAATTCCCTTGAAAGTTGACTCCTTCCCAGGAATTTTCATTACCCTTTCTACATAAATCCACTAAATATACAACAGATGTTGAATGACTTACATAGACTTTATCGATTTCAAAGAGAGAGAGTACAATCCTACTTCTACAGAAAGATAATGTAAGCAAGATTTCCAGTAAAGTATGAACAACTGAATACATGCATTTTTACCTTCCTTTCCTCTCTAGTAAAATGAAAAGAGAATAAAAAAGGCATAAGCCCAGAAATGCTAAGGGCAGGAAAGGACACAGCAGCCCAAACCTGGACGAGCCCAACCAGATTAAGACACAGAAAAGGCATACCCGGGTTAAAATGAAGGGAGACAGGAAGTGAGCCCGCCTGAACCACAGAACCTTGCCCACCCTGCCCAGCAAAGGCTCAGGAGCAGGAGGTGCCATGTATCCATGAAACAGGTGTGGGGGGAGGATGGATCCATAGAGGGGATAAGCTAATGAACCAGATGTACTTCAAGGCTCTACAAGAAGGAATATGAAAAGAGGGTGGCTGGCTTTTAAAAATCCATTCACAAATTCCTTCTCCCTCCCCAGGCTGCTTTTACTCCACCGCACCCAGCTGTTTTACTCTCTGGTGAATTCCAGAATTTGGACTTGAGAAACAAAACATAGCAAAAGGTTAGGGCAGGAAATGCACTGAGGCCAAGAGCATTAAGTCAAAGTCTACACTGAATGTAAGACAGAGCTGCTCCCCATACCCTCATTTCCTAGCTTGCTTCTCCACTTGGTTCCCAGAGCACTGGCAGCCTACTTTTCACTCTCCACCCAAAGAGATCAGGACATTCCCCCCAGGATGTTGGAAAAGAAAAGATCTATGAACATGGACACTGAGCCAGGGCTTCTCCCTCTGGGAAATGCAACCAGCTCACCCTACTGTTACACCTGTCAATAATCTCTCCCCACACAATTTCCCATCAGCTTTTGATGCCTTAGACATAAATAAGAATGGACACAGTGAAGGATCACCAGACCTTTCAGGAGAGCCTTCCCCAATGTCCTGGCAATTCTTTTCACTTCTCTCCTCAAGAAGTACATTATAAATTAACATAAAATCTCAACTTTTTGTTTAAGGAGGCATACAGAGTTTCAAACCTACTGCTCATGCAACCCATCTACTGCTCATACAACAGTAGAAAATCCAACGACTGGGATCTACTGTCATTTTGACAAGATTATATTGCCCAACTTGTAGGAACAGAAACAGAAAAGCGTAGGACATTGGTTAGCAGTCAAACCAGCCCTGAAATGCCAATCTGGAATTCTTGTTATGTGAGACAAATAATATCCTATTTGCTTAAACCACTGTAGTTGGGTTTTCTGTTACTTGAAGTAAAACTGTTTCCCAACGGGCAGGATAACTGAATGGTACCCTGTATCTAAAGAACCTGGAATGTGGTAAGCATGAATAAATCTTTGCCTTTCTTTCCCCTTTCTTTAAAATCTTTGCTCAAGCACCTAATAAATACTTACCGAGCACCTACAACCTACCAGGCGGGATGGGGAGTAACAAGGACCCAATGGGGAATAAAAGCAGACAAGATCCTTCCCCCAGTGGAGCTCTATTCTATGAGGAAGCAAGACATTGATCCAAACACACAGACTAATGAACTCAGGGTTAGAAAACCATTTTGGGGGGCAGGGTGCTGAGTTGTTTGCATAGTCATGGGCAGCCTCTGGTGGATGCAGGACATGACTGCGGACTTGAAATCTGAAGGGTGAATAAGGGTCCTGTGGTAATGTGGAGAATAAAACAAAGGAAGGCAAAAGTGGGAAAAATTTCTGTTCAATTATCCAATGTTTTTGACTATTTCTGTCTTATGTTCAGGAAGGTGAGAGTTCAATATACTAATCATATTTTCAGATTCAAATCCTACTTCATCCATTGACTTAGGTGCATTGCCTACAGCACACCACTTTACCTCCCTGTGCCTCTGTTTCCCCATTGTAAAGTGGGGATAATAGCAGTACCTACCTTAGAGAGTGAGAATCTAATGAGTTTTTACTATATAAATCATTTAGAACAGCCTGGCTTATAGTGGCATTCAAAAAATGTGACTGACTATATTAATTTTATGATATCTTACATGTTGTTATAATGTTTTTATTCCTATTATAATAAAAAAAGGAATAGTTTACTAGCGGACGATAAGGCTGGACCAAAGAAAATAGATAACAATAGTTCTATAAAAATTATGTGAAAGAAGAAGGACACACTTCAGGAAGGAGTGCTAAAATATGCAAATTCTAGATCTCCAAGTCTCAAGGCAAAAATGTAAGATTTACTGTGAGTTGTCATGACTCTCTGGGAGAATCCTTTAGAACAACAGGATGGTAACTAATCACAATAGCATGAACTAGAAAACTAGAATTTGTCATAAGGAAAAAAATATCATTGATAAACTTAATAAAAGCACAGAGTGTGGAAAGAAAAATACTGAAAACTGATCAACAGGGACTCGCGCCATGAAATTGAGAAGAAAATTAAGCAACAAAGCCCATGATGTCCACAGAGAAGCTCAGAGCGACGTGAGGGGAGGGGTATGGTGGCACTTCTAGAGACTGCGCAGGTAAGCTACTGAACTGGATGTTCTACAAGAATCTGAATTCATGGGTGGTCTGCCTGTAACGCTGGTTTGTGAAACTGGCCCAAGCATGAATTGGCTTTTAAATCATTTCTCAAAAGAGGGATTTACAAGAGTTCGCGGTAAATGTAAGATTCAGGAGCTGAAGGCTATGCATATAATATTCCCCTCTTCTGCATTCATTTTGTATTTATTCAAGATAAATGTCACTCTTTTCCCGTATTTTTAGGCCATGGACATGCCCAGAAAACTTGCCAGTACAGCACCTCCCCAGTTCACCACCCACACTTCTTGGGACCTACAATTATTCAAACGCATACAAATGTAATGATACACGTATCACACAGAGGTCCCACCAGCATGTCCCAAACCTGGCCACAGCTAGTTGATACCTCCCTCCCCTCTTTCCCTGGACTGGGTAGTTCCCCAGTACCAGATATGCCTGTCATTCATTAGGGCACAGGCAGCAGCTAGCACAGGCTCTTTGCCACACAGGGAGGCTCGAAAATACACACACGACTTTCCAGACGTTCTCAGCTGGAAGGGCTCATGCCCTGCTCTGATAGCCCACCCACCCCGGCCAAGTCCTTCCGTTTCATATTTAAGACATCCCCCTCTCGTGTCACACAGTGAACTGCTGACTTAACGCTGTGGATACCGGGAGGCCCCGGGGGTACTTGGCAGCCCCACTGAAGGTGCTGACCCAGAGGCTTGCTGAAGATGTTATTAGGACACAAAAGAGAAAAGCTTAACTCTGTAGAGGTGTATTAACCATGTCTTTTATACCTGTATTTCTGATACTCTGACATCTTGGAGGCAGATGGAGGTCCCTGGACTGGACAGACTGCTCCTCCCAGAATTAAGCCAATTCCTAGAGCTAGCAAACTCACCCAGGCGCTCACCTTTCATATGCAAACCCACCAACCCAGAGCCCACATCTCTGCTCTCACAGCCCAGGCCATGGTCCGCCTGCCCTAAGCACCCCAGTGCCAGGGACCAGGCATCTAGGGTCAATATTACGCCCCAAAGCCTGCTGTAATTATTCAGCAAATCCTAAACCTGCTTGCCCCGCCTCACCCATCCCTTCCCACAGAAACCACAATAAAGGCTCTTGCTCCCACTTGCCTCTGGCGTTCCCTCTGTTTACAGATACCCCTCGAACCCGGTGCTTCCCCCCATGTGGTCCCCTCATGATGTGGCATACTCCTCAGTCTTGGGATCTGCAACACTTATCTTTTCACTGGCAGCCATCGCCTGATCTGTTGGCCTCACCGTACGTCACCTTTTCTGTTACCGTACTATATTACATTAAAACAACAGGAAGTCTGAGAAGGATTCCCATGAGGCACCACGGCAGCTGTTCATCAGTGTCCCCGCTGACCGTTCCAGGCGACCTGTGGGAGTCTATGTGCCTGGTACCAGGCTAGGACTTTCTCCCAGGGTGGCCTCTAAGCTTTCTGAACTCCGGGACTGAGTCTACAAGTTCTGTGTTTTCCACACTGACTTTTACGGTTCCCAACACGGCCTGAGCACTGAAAAACCGTCTGCCAGTTGCACACGCACCCACATGTGTAGACAGACACGTCTCGATCTGGCCTTCTCCTTGGGTATTCGTCTGCGTTGTTGCAGCATTTCAGCACTAATTAACCCGAGTCTTCATTTCTCACGATCATTATGCATCTACTTGGCACTCCCACACTTGTCTAAATACAAATGACAACAGAGGGAGGCCATGCTACTCTCTTCCCAATTTTAGAAAAATTGTTTCGTAGCTCCTTTTTAAAGTTCTAATTACCTAGCAATGACTTTTATGGCTTTCCAATTCAGTGCGAAGTACTCTAACACATGTATTTTTCCCCAGATGGCCTTTATTTTTTCTGACACTAATCCAGTTTTGAATAAATTGCACAGCAGGGTAGAGGTAAAGGAGAAAATGTTGGGTCAGTCATTACTCTTGAAAATGCTTTGCAATGACAAAAACAGACATGTAATGAACGAACCCAATTAGTCACCAACAAATAAGACAGGTATGCCTCTCAACTCCTTCACTGGAAGAACTATGACCCATCCAGATCATTCTTTAAAGTTATTCTGTATGCTAAGAAAAAAAAAAAAATCAAAGATTACTAATCAAATTTGTAAGGATTATTAGAGGTTACATAAGGTATTACTATTAAACTTAACTGCAGTCTGTCCAATTTTTCTGGGAAATGTTTCAATTTAGAGAGAGACAACCTGGTTCACATAACTGTGAACTAGATTCCAGCTGCGGCTGAAACCAGGCCAGAGCCTTTCCCTGGGAATTCGGAAG